ATAGAACAAAAGTTCAGGCTACATAGGAAGCCAGAGCAGCCCTGGAGAATCAGATGGTGCAATTCCATTCAATTCCCTTTATAGAAGTGAATTGAATATATAAAAGTTAACCATTCAGGGTGAGTCCCATTCTGTAGCAGCTGGTTCAGTTGAGCTGCCAGTCGCTCATGGAGGGCAGTGAGTTTCTGCAGCCAGTAGGCCTGGATCATGTCAGGTCCTGGTGCTGTCCAGTTTTTCATACCTGGGAGTCTTTGTTGGACATCTGCCACAGTGATGGTTACCGGGGCTTGTTCAGGGAGGCGATATATATATATATATATATATACACACAGGCGCTAGTGACCTTTATTCAACAGTAATCTGACAGAAGGAGGTAAAGCAAAGAAACGGCAGACGGGCAGTTCAGTTTATTTAGAAAGCGCCAATTCACAACAAGTGTCGTTTTGAGTCAGTTTACAAGGAAGTCAGTCAAATGATCACATGACCTTCACAGGTATGAAAGACCTTCAAATTAAAATGAATCATTTTACTGTATGTTTCATGTTTTACCTGCAAACTGTTGTTGCCCACAGCGGTTGCTCTTCTCCAGCGCCTCCTGCTGGTCTCCTGCAGTCCTTCCTCCAGTAGCACAGCCAGTCGTCTTTCCAGACGAGCTTTAAAACTCCTCTCAGCCACCTGCTGCTCATGAACACCCAGCAGGACTGAAACAGCACAGAGCACCAAGAAAAACTCTCAGACCTGAAGGTTTGACCTTTTTAGACCTTCTTTAGGTTGAGTTGAGCTGCGTTTGTACCTGTACGGACCCACGTGTCACGCAGGTGGTGGGACATATTTAGCTCAGGATAGTAGAAGGCTGTGAACACAAGCATTTCAAATTTAAACTCACACTTGTTACAGTGCATGTGTTTAACCCTTTGAACTGTTTTCTACTTCTATGAAGTGTGGCTGAACTATTCAGCGATCGGCAGTGTTCAACCTTCAGTTGTGTGTTGACGTACGTTCTGCAATCTGCAGAGCAGGAAATCCAACATAGAAGCTGAACTCCACCAAGCTGAGCTTCCTCAGGTGTTCGCTAACCTCTGACCCCACCAAATAGCCCCTCCCATCTCGTACAGCGAAAGTGATGTCAACAGGAACCTTCTGCCCCACTGCTGGCCAGCCTTTGCTCATTGTGATGTTCAGCAGCTGTGTGAAGAGGTCAGAGATGTTACTACCTGACCTGACATCAGCGCGTCAATGAACAGGTGAGACTCACCTGGACGGTGATGTTTCCTCCCTCATGTGACCTTCTTCGGCTCTCTGCATATGCCATTATCAGCCCTCGCTCCACCCTTTCACTAAAGTTGCACACTCTGACATCAACATGGGTGGGAACAAACTGCAGCACCGAGTGGATCTGGTACCAGAGGTCAGGTATGGTATAGAGAGGGGAAACTGTAGGAATGGGGCCTGAACTGCGCGGTGACTGACGGAGAGCATTGATGACAGATATGGCAGTGAATATCATTGGTCCAGACACGACACGAAAGGCAAAACTGGATGGAGTTCTCAGGAACTGAAAAACAGAGCAGAGAGAATCAAGCTTGTTTGGGTCGTCCTGAAGTCAGAAAATGCTGACCAAACTCCGTCAGGTGAAATAATGCTGGATTTGCTTAGCTTATGCACAGTATAGTTTATTCTTTACAATAATTAGTAATAATAAGGAACCAGCTTTGAAACCAGAGACTGTACATGGGTTCACATGATTACCTGCAGCTCTATTGAGCGGTTGAACTCTCTCCTCAGGACATCGCGGACATGACTGAACCCGGCCGATGAGCCTTTAGAACTCACTGCAGAACAAACAAGTTCATCAGGTGGCTGAAGGAAGAAGCAGCGCTTCCTGTCACATGCAGGCTGGGGGACTTACCCACTCTGACCAGGTACAGCTCAGGCTTGGTGACATTGCACAGGTACTGTCTGGTGAGCGGAGTCTGGGCCCCTTTGGGTGTGGTAACTGGGGGTCCTCTGGTGAGGCTGATGGAGGTAATCTGGGTGGTAGTCGTTATGGCTGGAGGTTTTGCTGTTTTTTCTGTGATCACTGATGGTCTTTCTGGTTTGACAGGCCGAACCGGTGGACCCAGTGGAGGAGGGGGTGGCACCTGGCTGGTAGTGTTAGATGGGGGACGAGGAGGGAGGCCTGGACCATGGTCTTTGGTTTTTGGAGAAGATGGAGCAGGAGTGGAAGGGGTTTGGGAGGTGCTTGGTAGAGTAGGTGACTTTTCACTTGTAAGAGCAGGTGAGGGAGTGACGGGAGGGAAGGGTCCTCGTGGTGGATGTTTATGCTCTAGATCTGGTGGAGGCCCACTGAGGGTTGGGACTGGGGTCAGAGGAGAAAGGTGAGTTTGTGTTGTTGTGGGAGTAATGGAGGGTCTGGACTTGGTACCATGTATCTGGTCCTCCTTCTCCCTCTCCTTTTCCTTCTGCTTTTCCCGGGCCAGAAGGTTGGTGTAGTACTCCAGACTGTTCATGTCCGGCAGCAGCACCTCCGTCGGTTCCAGAGGCATCATGTCCTCTGGGTCGTATTCCTCATCCCATGTGGAAAAAACATCCAGATGGGCAGTGTGAGTGTGAAGGGGAACAGTAGGAGTGGAGGAGGGGATGATGGGGGGACGGGAGAACAGAGGGAGTGTTGGACGGGGCGGGAAGGCCGTGTCATAAGAGACCCAGTCCCCATCAGACTCCGCGTCCCAAGGGTGGCTTGGTAGTGGCGTGGCAAGGCCCAGTTCCTCCCCGTCAGGCACCATGAAGGACAGAGTCTCCAGGTAGTCCCCAGAGCCCCATGCTTCCTCTAGGGAGGGGCCCTGCTCCCAGGGGGGTGGAGGGGTGAGAGTGGGCTGGCTGTGTGGGGGGAGTACCGGGGGCAGACTGGGGGCCAGCAGGTCTGGAGGTCTCAGCAGTAGGTGGATGCCCTGAGCACCAGCTTCCTGGTCCTCTGCTGAGCCAGCTCCAGCACTGTTACTATGGTAACCAAAGTCTGAGGCCCCCCTGGGGGGGGCGGGTGATGGTGATGAATTATGTGATGATGACCCCATTGTCCTGTTCAAATCCAACACACCTGTAGAGAATAAAAGAAGAGAATGTGATGAATCTGACCCCTGAACCTTTGGTTGGGCCCCTGAAAGTTTCTGAGGGCCACAAACTACCTGACCCCCCTGAACCTTTATCACACAGAAGTGTTCGATATGGAAATGTGCTGGTCATAAAGAGGTGCTAGCGAGACTCATGCAGACCTGAGAGCTAAAGTCTAAAGGGGATGATTGTTTTTCTCTGGGTCTCAGAACAAAACGGCTATAACTAGATGACTAGACAGTCAAAGGCCTTTGACTAGACAGCTTCATTTAAACATTATTTCCACCATTTTATGATACTGCTTGAATGGAAGAATGACAAAACCAAGTGATGATCAACCAATTAACTGGGCTGCCATACCGGTCCCCTGGCTTGTCAGCACCTTTTTGGACTTTTTAAAATTAACTGGCCCAGTCACGCATCTCCTTCCTGACTCCTAGTTCTTCTACCGTTCAGCTACAGGTGTCCACTTGGTTCCTGTCAACCGTAACGCTGGTGCACGCCGTCAGTAGCAGTTTGTTCTGTCGGTTGGTGGTACACAGAACCCGCCTGCATGGAGACGAGCAGCTCAGTGAAGATTTCTCTGCTTTCTGGTCAAAGCAGCAGAACCAGCGCAGCCATTAGGAGCAGGAAGCGAGTCGTGGATCATCTGAAGGTTTTCTCGCTCCTCCTCAGTCTCCTGGTTGCAGGTCAACTTTCATTGCTGCGTTTGGATCAATAAATGTTTCTGATGATAGCAGAGGTATTGATCTGTTAGCACTTTGCTAATGTTTAGCTCCACAGGGTCTACAGCTGATCAAGCTCAGATATGTTTGTCATATTTCAGTTTTACCTGTTTATTGTAATGGTTGCATATTTTGAGGTATTTAGTCTGAATATTCTGTATATAGTTACCATAAATCAACAACAGAACCGTCTGGGTGACCATGAAGTAATGCTGTGATTGGCTGATTTATCGTGTTGCTGTAATATTTTACTTTAACTCACAAAAGGTTCCAAAATATTATTTTTTAAAATAATATTGTGTATTGATCTGAAAATATTGTAGTAACTGTCGTTCTCATAGAAGGTACTCCTTGCTCAGTGAGTCTGGTTGTTCAGAACCTCCAGTCAGCGCAGCACACAGCCTGTTCTGGTTCTGGTTCTGCTGGGAATCTCTTCCTGTCGAAAGGGAGAGTTGATTTGATCCAACCAAAAGGTTGGATTTCCACAGACAGAAATGATTCACTTCCAGTCACTCAGATGAAGCACATGGATAATAGGATGAAGCTGATCTTAAATATCTGGACATTCATTTAGATTTTGATGAGTGAAATTAATAATAAGCAGAAAGTTCCTTTCAGTGGATTAATTAATAACAGAGGAATCAGATGTTTTATGTTCACACCCAAAGACTCATTTTTGCTGTGATGATTTTCGGTGAAGCTGATCGTCTCTTTATTAATGACGAGAATATTAAAGCTGATCGTTCTTTAAACACACACAACCTCTTTCATCTGGCCTGTTTCCATGGCAACGCCGTGCAGCAGAATCATGTGCAGAAAAGATAGATAGATAGATAGATAGATAGATAGATAGATAGATAGATAGATAGATAGATAGATAGATCGATCTGATTGGTGGATGTAGCTGATGATGTGGTTCTGACTAAAACCAGGAAGATGGACCACATGGCCTGCTCTGCATCCAGAACCAGTACCAAACATGGAGAAGCAGCATTCAGCTTCTATGCACCACAGATCTGGAACAAACTCCCAGAAAACTGCAAAACAACCGAAACACTGAGTTCCTTTAAATCCAGAATAAAATCTCGTCAAGTTACAGCTGCTATGGACTAATAACTGAAACAATGATTATTAATTAATAATTTTATGATATTTTTTTAATAACATCTGAGAAAAAGTTTTTTCCTCTTTGCTGTTTTCACCTGCAGCTGCTTGTTTCTGAATGCTGGAAAAATAAATTTGCCTTCCAGCCTCCAGTCAGACGTCGACAGGTCACATGATTCACTCAGAGCGTGTGTGTGTGTGTGTGTGTATGTGTGTGTGTGTGTGTGTGAGAGGACAGAGTGAGTCAGTGATGTGGGAGGATTGACAACATGAACATAAAATCAGAAATAGAAACAGATTCCAGATTCTTCTTCTGGAGGCCACGACACCAACTAGCAGGAGTTGGAAGAAATGCAGCTTACCTGCAGCAGGTGAGCTTGTGGTCGTCATGGAAACCAGTGTGCCAGCCACCAGAAACATCACAGCGAGCGTTTGTGTGCATGATGTGGCTCTGGGGTCCATTCCGGTCCTGGTCCTGAAGCTGGAGCCCAGCAGGATCACAAGGTCCGACATCCTCAGAGGACCAGCGGTCTGACGGGGACGCTGGGAGCCGAGGGCCCGACAGGAGGACCTGGGCAGCAGGAGACACTCACCTGACTCACCTGCCATCAGTACAGGACGCGTTGTCATAGCGACAACTCGTCCTGATGGTTTTCCTGAGGGAAGCCACAGCTGTTTACACATCTTACAACTTCCTGTTGACCTTTCACTGACCTCCAGAGAAAAAGGCCCAGAGGTTCTGCTCACCCTCACCCGACTGAACCTGGAGTCTGCAACAGAACCATCGAAAGGTTCTGGCGGCAACACCAACGTTGCTCATGGAAACTGCAGCAACTGTGATGTCATCAGGTCAATCTGGTCCACGGAGCAGAAGTTTCTCCAACCAGGTGTGCCTAATAAAGTGGCCAGTGAGAGGATATCTGGACCTGCTGAACCGGGCCAAAGTTCTGCTTCTTTGAAGGTCCAAAAGGCGTCAAGTTAACATTTTAACAAGTTAACACAAAGATCAAAGATCGGATTCAAAACGAACCAACTGGAATTTCAGTCTCTGGAAATCTGGACCGGTTCGGGTCTCTGGACCGGTTCGGGTCCATTAGCTCTCTGGTTGTTTCGTGATGAAGCAGCTCCTGGTACTTACTTTCATCAATTTGGACCTGAAAGGTTCGGTCCAGGATTTCAAATCTGCTGATTGATCAGGGTTCGGTACCGGCCCGTATCTGATGTCTGAGGCCCGGATCCTCACACCTCTGACGGTTCGGCCCGGTCTCCTCTCATATTGACCCAGTTATGAGCCCAATCGCATCCATCCGCTCACTGCAGAACACCAGGGTCCAGATTCCTGACGGTTCCGGAACCGGAGACTCCTCCCTTCTGGATCCGAGGCTGAAGGCTTCGCAGCGGGCACAGAGCCGCAGCTGCAACCGCTTAAAGACACCGAGCTCCGGCGATGCAGATCAACCCAGGGATCCGAATCGAACCGAACCATCAGCACCACAGCATGCTTTAAAACCTCAACCAGCAGCCGGACCTACCTGCCATCCTGGAGATGCGGTTCGGGCGCGTCACGCCTCTCCGCTCCGCGAAGGAGGAAGAGGAGGAGGAAGAGGAGGAAGAAGAAGAGGAGGAATCTCTCCTTCCTCCTCTCGGTCCGCAGTCTTCCTCTCCTCCAGTAGTAACCTGCTCCCTCCGACCCGGTTCTGTTGGCGTCGGTACCAACAGAACCGACTCAGGATGTTCCGATCCAAAAGGGCGGCTTGCCGTGTCTCCTCCTCTGTGACCCAGAGATGTTTATCCGACTGGACCCATTTCTCCAGAACTGACCCAAATAGATGTCTTAACGGAGGCCTCTGATTGGTCGAAACATTCACTATTAGCCTGATACCTGGTTCCGCCAGAACCGGCAGCCGGTCCAGAAGCTGCTGCTGGAGTTCTGACTAAAACCAGGAGGACAGAGACACCACCCATATCTACACCACCCAGATCTACACCACCTGGTTGTAAATCCTGCTGATGGATCAACACTATAAAACATTTTAAGTTGGTTTAACTTGAAAATTAACGTTCACCTGCTGCCTTGAAAAACGATTTAAAACAAAACAAGAAAATTGTTTTGGTTTTAACTCAGAAATTAAAGTTCAGGAAGTTGACTTAATTGTCAAGTTGCCTAAATATTAGGTTTATTAATCTTGAATTTTGAGTTTCAGCTTAATGCTGCAAATTAAACCAAATTATTTCACAATATGCCAGAAAAAAACTGACCCGAGCTAAAGGGCTCACAATATCAAGTTCAAATAATTATTTTACTTTATAATAACTTAAATTATTGTGATCTGATTTGTATTAATCACAATGAATTCTGCTCAAAACTTTTAATGAGCACAACATTCTCCTCAGGCTTTAAAACATTTGCATTCAAAGCTCTTCCGGCTCAGGATACAAAAACATGCCGCTAAGCATTCTGGGAAATAGTTCCCACTCTCGTCTTCTTTCAGTTTTTTTTTTTTTGTGCTAAAAATTAGTTTGACAAAATGAATAACAGTTCATTTATTATTGTATCCGTCACAGACTCACATTTAGGCTTGAAATCTAAAACTTGCTAAATTTATTTGACTTAAAAAGTAGAAGATAGAAGACACAACTAAATGTGGCTCAAATGTTTTACAGTGAACCAAACATGAAGCAGCATTCAGCTTCTATGCACCACAGATCTGGAACAAACTTCCAGAAAACTGAAAAAGAGCCGAAACACTGACTTCCTTTAAATCCAGACTAAAACCAGCTGGTTGTTTGCTTTTGAAACATAATCAGTGGTAAATTGATTATTCCCGATTACCTTTTATTCCGTCTCTTCATCCTGCCAGAGATGCGACACTTCCCTCTGATTCCTAGTTGAAGGCGGCAAGTTCTGATGAACATTTAAAGAAAAGAAAAAAACAGAAGGCAGCGAATGATTTGAACCAACTGAAGAATCCAGAGGCATCGATCAGGAATTCTGCAACAAATTTAGACAATTTGACAAAGGAAACAATCAAATCTAACCCAACAAACCACAAAATAAATAAATATCTAAAATAAGTAACTCACTGACATCAAAAAGAATAACTAAAGCAAACCACAAAACAAATGATCAAAAATAACTAAAGATCCTGACAGTTTGATGGTTTTTATAAATGGTTTAACGTGTTTCATCCTGACAGGAATGAAAGATTTAAAGGCCGAAGAAAACGTATGTGATGGAGGACAGGAAGTGGATTTCTGCACTTCCTGTGGAGACGCTGCTCCTGCTTCTGTGTCCAACAATCATTAAAAAAATTCAAGTTTCCACTGATTCAAATCTGAAGCTTCCAGATATTCAGCAGAAAAAAACTAATGGAAAATAAAGTCTTTGTTCTGAAAAAAGTATTTAGACAAAAATTCCCACCTAGTTTTAGTTTTTGTCTCCGTTTTTAAAAGCTTTAATAACTTCTAATACCTTTACTATTAGTACAGCATATTTAGAATAAAATAAAATAGAAATATTCTTTATTGTTGTACAATTTGACCATTAAAATGATGATAGTGTGAAAACTTTCAGTTCTGCTGTGAGACATAAAACATTTTTATTTGTGCAGAAAATTACAGAACAAACATCTGAGCTGAACTTCCGGATCAGAACCATGCAGGTCATTAATGTTCATAGCGTCGCATGCAGAATGACAAACAACCACAGCTCATTCCTTCTAGACTGTTGACCTTTGACCTCCAGAGATGCAACTCAAGATAATCCCAACAAATTGGAAACCTCAAAAAACTAAAACTAAAAATCAAAGTTATGGTAACGTTGGTGTGCAGGTCTGAGTTCGGAGTTTATTTGAGACCAGTTTGTACTTTAACTTGATCAAAACTAAAAATCTGCAGTCAGGAGTTCACCGTCAGACTCTATGAAAACTGAAGAAATTAGATCGTTTGCTAAAATGTTCATATTGATCTCTGCTTGGCTGACATGCCAGGAATTTACAGAAAGTCTAGAAAAGCTGCAGGAAGCTGCTGTGACCCGGTTCACATCCAGCTGTTCCGATTCAGCAGATCCTCACTTTTCCTGCAGCTCTTCAGACGTTCGGTTTTCTAGATTGTTGCAGATGTTTTTACAGCTGGTTCATGAAAGGTTTGGTTCTCACGCTCATCCTGGCGGGTCCAATAACCGGACACATCCAGTTCAGACTGTGTGCAGGAATTTGAACCCAGAACCTTCTTGATCCAAGGCACTGCGTCTCTGCTGATCAGGATCAGTTTCATTTTACTCAATATATTTTGGTCTCCAGTCAAATATAATCATAAACTTTTACCTAAATGTGGAAAAACAGAAGAGATTGTTACCTGACAAAATGTTAAAACCTGCAGAGAAAATCAAATCTGGATGTTTGTGTTTGGAAAAGCAGCCAAGCTTCATTTTGGGTTTTCCATCCAGTAAATGTGGATTATTCTAAAGAACCCTACAACGTTTTTTATGCACTACATTAAATCATATTGGAATTTATTTAAAATGATTTCTGAATGTGGTTAACATTGAGATATCACTTCATGTTTTAAAAAAACACAAATAACTGAACAAATAAACATCTTCTGTCATTCTGAGCTGGTTGTTCCACAAGGCAACGTCTTTGGTCTTCTTCCTTTCTACTGACATCTTTGTGCAGCTGAAAGAGAATCAACATCCTCACAATCACAGTTTCACATTGAGGAGACATTTATACAACAGGCAAAGTTTTCTTTGTTCATCCCGTCTGAACTGGGATGTTAAAGAGTTCGACTAGTTTAGTTTCACAAACGGTACAGGAAAATATTCTCTCATCATATACTGAACTGGTAGCATCAGGTTTTTATCCATATTAGTTCATTTTGCAGCTGTTTCTGTCCCACAAGCTACAGACACAACACCCAACGTGTTTGTGACAATATCTAAATGTTGTCTCACTCTCTGCTACATTCCAACATTTTAATGCTCAATCAGCTCTTCTACCCAGCGAAACAAAATGTTTCCTCAGCAACAAAGTCTGGATTTGTTGTGAATGTCAGGTTTGCATACATCCCCACTGCAAGACTTAGAAAATCAGAAGATCACAATTTTATTTTTCTCTGCTGGGAGTATAAAGCCGTTGTTCAGAGGCAATTTCTAAAGAAGAACCCTGCCAGAAGACAATCACAGGAAGCTGAAGAAACCCTGCTGGCTTGTTTTGAGGCTACTGATTGGATCGCTCTCTGCCAGCCCCACATCAGAGCCATGACTGATATGAACCTGTGTGGACGGCAGAGAGAATGACAAACCCTGGATCAGCAGGGACCTGAAGGAACCAAGGAGCCTTTAGGGCCGAGACGCTGAGGAGGAAACAAGCAGCTGCAGTCCAGATGAGACAGAAGGATTAGGGGTTACGGTTAGCCTAACAGCAAGAATCTGGAGGAGAAACTGCAGAGGAACCAAATGAGACAATTAGGAAGGAAGAGGATCAGATGGATGGGTTGTTCCAACGACTGGAGACCTGTTGCCATGACGACCCACAGCAGTCCGACTCCCGTCATCTCCAGAAATACTCAGATTACTCTGCAGCTGCCAGGGGTCAGAAAGGTCAAAGGTCAAACCCTGTTTCCATCACAACAGAGGATTATAGAACTCCCTTAGTTCATCTGGACCAGGACCGGAACCAGGACCAGGACCAGAACCAGGACCAGAAACAGAACCAGGACCAGGACCAGAACCTGAACCAGGACCAGGACCAGAACCTGAACCAGGACCAGGACCAGAACCTGAACCAGGACCAGGACCAGAACCAGAACCA